TAATGTCTAAGCCCCCTCTTGAGGGGAGGTGGGGCAGAGAGAGAGAGAAAAGAGGGAGAGAAGAGACAATCCCCAAGCAGGCTCTGCACTATGGGAAGCCCAAAGTCTGATGCAGCTTTCAGGCTCATGAACTTTATTGAATGACCTGAGGCTGAAATCAGAGTTGGACACCTGGCGAATGAGCCACCTGCCAAGCAGCCCCTGACCCTTCTGTTCTAAATTGACCTGGGCATGGTCCCGAAGAGGCTGATAGCTGGAGGCGTTCAGGGCAGAAGAGAAGCCCAGGCCCTGAGTTTTCTCAGGGAAGAAACAGAAAACGTGTTTGTGCTTCTCTGGCTGGTTATAGAGCATACTTTCTGGAAGAGGGCATAAATTCCAGGTCCCCTAGGGGTCTCTGCTTCAAACTGCCGCAAAAACAGACCTCAGGCCGTGCAAGACCTGCAAGCGTCGATTCATTGCACCCTGTCCGCCATGAATCCTTGGCTCGATCACCACAGCCAGGCAGGAAACCATGTCTCAACTCAATTAATTGTTGCTTCATCCCACATACCTTTTCATCGTGCTCTGCCCAGACTGTGTAGTCCACCACCACCACTCACGACAGCGGAGAGCGGGCAGAACCTAATTCTGCTCCAGGTAATTCCATTCTTGACCCCTGAAGGTGGTAAGCATGGTGAAGTGGTCTAATCAGTGCTTTCACGGCTGCAGCATGCTGTGAGGACCTCTGGGACATCAGTTCCAACCTGTTTGAGCCTGACTTAATCTCTGGAATCTTTGGTGAGGAGGCCTATTGGGAAATTTGTACCAGGGAAGCCTGGGTGGCTCAGTCAGCTAAGCACACTGACTCCTGCTCAGGTCATGATGATCTCTCTCTGATTCCGTGGGTTTGAGCCCCGGCGTCCATTCTGTGCTTTGTGACCGAGGAACCTGGGTACTGCTCCCCGGTTCGTCTTTCCTCTTGCTCCCTCTCTCTCTCTCTCTCTGTCTCTCTCAAAAATAAATAAAAACATTAAAAAAAAAAAAACTCCAGCTGTGTCCTTCAGGACAGTAGTACAATATTTTCTTTCCAAGTAACTAATACAAAAAAAAAATCTTAAGGCCATAAATTCATTTATAGGCTGTGATTTTCATACGAACATGTCATCGTTAGATTCTTTCCATTCTTTTTCTTTCAGTTCTTTCCTGAGCTATTTTTTATGGTTTGCTTTTACTGTCCGGCCGGATGCATTATCTTGACCACCCTTTCCTAAAATGATGTTTAAAGACCTGCTAGTAAATTTATTGCATAGGCCTATTCATGACACAGGGTTGGGAACTGCATACTCTAAGTAGCATTGGACAAGGCTTACAATCATGCATTTTAAGTACATATACTTGCCACAAGGCTTCGCTTTGTTGTCGTTAACTCTTTTTGAAAAAATTTTTAATGTTTATTTGTTTGCGAGAGAAGAGAAAAGACAGGCATGTAACGGGGAGGAGAAAGAGGGGAGAACTACAAAAAAAAAAAAAAAAGAACAGAAGAAATAAGACTTATCAGTCTCCCACAGCCTGTCTTTGGGTCCAAGTTATGAAGAAAACCTGGGACACCGGATTTGTGACCGTGGCACCTTAAATCTAGTCTCACGTGGCCCAGGATTCTGAGATCAGACAGGTGTGAGTAAACTCAGCCCTTCCTAAGAGACTTCACCTTAAATTAAGGCACACTTCCTTCTAGCCAAACCCTGCTGTGCCATTCTCATTTTTGAAAAGACTTTCTAATTTCAGGGGCATCTGGGTGGCTCAGTCGGTTAAGCGTCCGACTTCGGCTCAGGTCATGATCTCACGGTCTGTGAGTTCGAGCCCCGCTTCAGGGTCTGTGCTGACAGCTCAGAGCCTGGAGCCTGCTTCGGATTCTGTGTCTCCCTCTCTCTCTGCCCCTCCCCCGCGCATGCTCTGTCTCTCTCTCTCAAAAAATAAATAAACATTAAAAAAAAAAAAAGACTTTCTAATTTCAGAGAAGCTGTCAGAAGCTTCCGCTCCTCAGAGGCAGGAATGGAAGCTTGTGGAGTCCGAGCCTCAGGTGCCTGACTAGGTGCCATGTTGTCACTAGGTGAGAAGTCCAGCAGCACAGCCACCACACTCAGCGCAGTGCTCAGCAGCACGAAAGGAAAATGTCACCATTCGACCACAGATAAAGGCTTCGGTGATGTCAGAACATGATGGGGAGAAAGAAAACTCTGTGGAAATTAGCACGCTTTCCAAAGGGGGTTTCCAGCCTCTTGGACGTGCAAAAGCAATTTGTCCACTTTTTATTACTATAGAGTCCGCACTGAATTATAATTATTTGTGGATACTGTTTTCAGTTCCTTGGGAACTCCTGGAGGGGCAAGAATCATTGTCCATCCAGCGTTGTTTGCCTAGGATGTAGAGTATTTCTTGCAGCACAGATGATAATAAATGTACCAAAGAAAGGAGAAAGAGAGAAAAAGCTGCAATGTGATTATACCTAGACTATCTTTTCGCCTGCAAGTAAAAATACGATTTACTTTTCCTCTACTGAATGGTCCTGTTCTTCCCAAATGCAAAACTGATTTCGGAAGTAAACCGGGAAGAGCCCGGCACCTCCGTCAATCTGTAACCTTGGGTTTGCGTGTGGGGTTCTTGGATGAAAACGCAAAATCCCCAGCTGAAAAATGCCTCACTGTTCATTTTTTACACTGACACGTCCACTAACATTTTAATCATTTCTACATAATGTTCTAGAAAACACACAAGACCCTCGAAAAGGATGAGGGGGGCCGCCTCGATTCCCCCACGGTGCCCGGACCACACAGGGTTGGAAAGTGAAGAAGTTCCTACAGTTCTCTGCTCCTCACCCTGTCTGAGCAGCTAAGCACCTGTGAGGGCGATCTTGGCAGAGGACTTGGGTCCCAACCTGTTTTGGAGCAAGAACCAGGCCCTGCCTTTCTCTGTGTTCTCGGGCTAAAGCTTTGCAGATGCCAGGCGCTCAGTCCACTGCGGCTGTTAGTGCTGTCCACGGGGCCACGGGGCTGCGGTGAGCGGGATGGGAGGCTCGTCAGGAGAAGGGGGACGGTCCTAACGGCTCCCCTTTATCAAGCCCTCATGACAAGCTGGGAACGTTAAAAATATTGTTCCCAATTGTCGAAAGGCACAAAGTACAAAAACGGGGCCATGGAGATTATATAATGTGCCTACATTCTCACCCAGAGGACGATCTGGGACACAGACTATGCCTCTGTGATCCCAGGGCCCCTGTTACTTCCTCTCCGCCATCTTGTTCTTTCCAAGATGCACCTGGAGAAGGTGCCTACGGTGTTGGGCTGTGAGGGGAAACGTGAGAGAAGAAGGAAGTTCCAAGTACGCAGCCATTTATGCAGGATTCCAAAGCAGTGTCTATGTGTTACACACAGAATGTTTCCCTGGGTCCCTACCACACCAGGTAAGCTTCCCATTTTTATCTGGAAAGAAGCTGAGGTCCCTCCTACAAAGTCAACTCTGTAGTTCTCCTTCCCCGGTGTTCTGCTGAAGGACCACGCTCTTGGAGTCTAACCAGAGAAATTAAAATTTCACACTTTTGTGGACCAAGGCATTATTTTTAGTTCCAGCAAAGATGGCTTTATTAGTCACTTCCTCAAAGGCGAGGACCACACAGATGGATGAAAAGCGACAAGCACAAAACTTCTTGAAGTAATTGTGACTCATTTCACATTCGCTATGTTTCTGTTCTTCTTTTTGGGTTTTCAGACCATATGTAAGCTATCGGTGGGCATTACCTACCAGAGAATTCACAGTAAATGGCTGATCCATGCTGTCCAGACTATAGAAGGAAGGTGCTGATGGTTTCTTCTCAATCACTTCGTCTGTTTCAAAGACAAAAAGCAGAGCCCCGGTTATTTTTTGAGAATTCGAGTCTCAAATCTCAAACCCCAGGGTTATTTCTGGCTCCGAATATAAACAAATCGAAATGACTTATATAACCTGAGTGTTTGGAGAGACTTTGGAAGTCTCTTCCCGAACTTACAAGACTGCAGGTGGTTATGGTTTCTCTTAAAGCAGACCTCTAAAAGTGGGGGTGTGAAGAGAGTTATTGCGGAGTACCCGGCGTGTCTTCTGAGTGTTTTCTTTTCTTTTTTCTTTTTAACGTTTATTTATTTTTGAGAGAAAGAGAGAGAACGCACGTGCACGCAGGGGAGGGGCAAAGAGAGAGAGAGAGGGAGAGAGGATCCCAAGCAGTTTCCGCTCTCTCGGCACAGAGCCCAACGCAGAGCTCGAACTCATGAACCGTGAGATCGTGACCTGAGCTGAAATCAAGAGTTGAACTTAGGTGACTGAGCCACCCAGGCGCCCCTGGGTGTTTTCTTACTTTCTTCAAAGGGAGAAAGGTTGTAAGAGTTAACAGCATGGACCCTGGAGCCGTGGGCTTCTACACCTGGAGGCAGTCTGGGCCTAAGCTCAGCTTTACTAGCTCTGGAAGGTGGAACTGTGACAGCCCTGTGGCCCCTGCGGTTGGGTTTCCATGGGTGTGTGTACCCTTGAGTGTGGACGGACCTGTAACTGACTTCTAATCAACCGTACGCAGCAAAGGTGATGGACCTGCTACTCCCATATTTATGTTATGTCACATGGCAAGGATGAGGTGGTTTTCCAGATATATTAGGAGCTCTAACCAGTCGGCATTGAATTAATCCAAAGAACGTTTATCCAGGGTGGGCCTGACCTAATCAGGCGAAACGTTTCAAAGCGTGAGCTCTTCCCCTGCTGATCTCGAAGACTCAGTCGCCCTGAGTACCACAGCCCCAGGGACATGGATTCTGCCAGTAGTCACGTGAGGCTGGAAGAGCACCTGGAGCCTCCTGAGATTCTTACCTGGTCAGCAATGCCATTCCTGCTATGTGATACCCTGAACACAGGACCCAGTTCTGCTGTGCCCAGGCTCCAGACCCACAAAACTCTGAGGCAATAAATGTACGTTGTCTCAAGCCACGAAGCTTGTGGTGATGTGTAAAGCAGGAACAGAAAACGAATACGCCAGCTACGTGCCTGCACATGAGTTTTACAGCCTTTTTGTGCAAACCGACCCGGGGGGGGGCGGGCGGGGAATAAACTGACCTATGTCACATAGTGGGGGCAAGGATTACATGCGTTAGCACAGAAAGTGCTTGGGAGAGTTCCTAGCACACAGTCGATATTATAGAAGTGTTAGCTATTATTAGAATCTTTATTTTGCAGTTGTGGAAACGGAGGCTCGGCGATGTTACGTGAATGTGCTCAAGTTCAAACAGTCACTCAGTGAACATTAGCCTCCTTCCTTCTTGTGCTACTTTGGGTCGGGCAATGCATCACCACTTCCCACTTCTGAATTCACTTTGAACTTTTACTCCACTCATCGTTTATGTGATGTTGGACATGTAGCTTTTCTGTAGTTCCTCATTTATGGTATGAGGGGCTTAACCTATCTTCATTCAGATTAGAGCATTCTGTGGTTCTAGAGATCTCAGACGTAGATCATTCAACCCTCCTGCGCCTTTTTTCTGGCCCGAATCCATGCCCGAGAAATCCTTCAAGGAAAGTCAGGTTGGCAGGTTCTAATATTTCCCTTTCATCCTCTCCAGTGATGCCTGGGGTAACACTGGGATCTAAGCTTGCAGGCTGCAGAACTGACCGGGAGAGTGCCACAGCCTCAGTGTCATTTAAAACCCTAATTAATTCTGGTGCCACTGAATGTAGGCAGTCCCATTTGGGGAATCACCAGTCCTCAGTGAGAAGAAATAAACCAGGAAAGAAAGAAAGAAAGAGAAAGAAAGAAAGAAAGAAAGAAAGAAAGAAAGAAAGAAAGAAAGAAAAAGAAAGAAAGAAAGAAAAGGAGAGAAGGAAGGAAGGAAGGAAGGAAGGAAGGAAGGGAGGAAGGAAGGATTAAAACAGTTAAAGAAACAGAACAAAAAGGCTTATGGGGTATT